GAACTGTTTTCTCATAGTTGGGGTGCTCCGTCTATGACTGCTGATCTTATTCGATTGGCTTTTTGACAAACGTTGTACACCATCGCGCGTAACAGACTGCATTGATTTCCGTCCGAAAAAAAAAATCTTCTAGAGCAATAACTCAAAAGAAATTTGTTCGCGCGAAGTAGTCTTTCATTGGCACTTTCACTGTTTTCTTCTGCCTTTGCTTTTTTCTTGTTTTACTGCACTACTGCACGCTCTTGCTACAGTCCCATTTTGGTTCAGCTTCTCATCGCTTTGCGGGTTTTTTTTTGTTGCGTTTCGGACAGTGCTTTCTGTATTCCAAGAAAGAGATGTGAAAGGAAGTCTGCACCTTTTTATTGCTTGTTTCTAAAAAAAAAGTGCATAGACGAAGGAATATGCTGGTTGGGCGTTAAAACTAAATGGAAGGTAGAAAAGCACCTCAGAAAGCTAATGTTTGGGCTCAAAAACATCAAGTTTGGTACCAGAAGGCTAAAAAGTGCATAACAGAGCACTATAATGCAAAAAAGCTTGCACTTCCGCTTAAGACTGCCGAAATTGCGTAGCGCCTTTGTTGGAAGTGCAGTGCGCCACTGTTTTATGCGTTTTGTGCTGTGTAACAGCAGTACAAACGCATATTGTACGGGATTGTCTATGTGTGTGTGTGTGTGTGTCCGTAGCAACTTTTCCGCAACTTTCAACTCAGAATCCACAAAAGCTAGAAAGCTGAAAATTTAGGGTAGCGTTCTCTACCCACGTGTAACCCCGCAAATTTAAATTCACCCTGCCCGTACCCGCGCGTAACACGCACAGCCCCATAAAAGTTTGGACGGGTAAACTTATTATCACGGGAACCGCGGAAGCTAGAAGACTGGAATTTTATGGGCATGTCCGCTGCCCAAGCGTTACCCAGAAACTTTTAATTCAGCCTTTTCCTGCCCACGAGTAACACGAGCGGTACCGTGAAAATTTTGGCGAGTAAATTATTATCTCGGGAACCACAGAATCTAAGAAGCTGAAATTTTAGGACAGTGACCTCCCACGCACGCACGTCTTTGTAAATTCAAATCCAGCGTTCCCGCGCTTGCAGGTTCACCTGCGGCCTCGTGAAAGTTTTTGTGGGTTAATTATCGTCTCGGAAACCAAGGAAGCTTGGAAGCTGAAATTTTATCGGTATGTTCCTTAGAAAATTTATGTTCAGCCTTTCCGTGCCTGCGGGTAACGTAGATAGCTTCGTGGAACTTTTGGAGGGTAAATTATTATCTCGGGAACCACGAAATCTAACAAGCTGAAATTTTAGAGCAATGACCCCCTGTCCATGAACAACTTCGCAGATTCAGATTCAACGTTCCCACGCTCTCGTGTATCACCTACGGCCCCGTGAAAATTTTGGCGGGGAAATTATTGTCTCAGGAAACATAAAAGCCAGGAAGCTGGAATTTTACGATAATGTCTCTTGCTCGCAAATTTTACGGTAATGTCTCCCGCTCGCAAATTTTACGGCAGTGTCTCCCGCATGCAATTTTCACGTACGGCCCCATGAA